ACATTCCAGGTATGCACTGAACATTCCAGGTATGCACTGAACATTCCCAGAAATGGTGCTAAAGATCTTTGTATGAATGTAGCAGTAGGGCCTACCCGGCCTAACCCGGAGTTGGGCTCTGCAGTCCTGGCTCTGCAGTCCTGGCATGGCACTAGCATGAGCTTCATGGCCACTGTGGGAGTGCAACAGCTGTCCCCTCAGCCTGAGGACGCTGGGCTCCTTCCTGCACTCTTCCTGCACCACAATCATTCATTCTTCTGGGTGTCGGGTTAGCTCTCGAGCTGGATCAAGGTAGAAGACAGTCTCATTTTGAACTGGGGGAAAAAAATCCCTTTCTCTGTCTGCTTTCTTCTTCACAATCAAGACTTTGTTCTTAAACTTACTGAAAGATTTTATAATAAGTGAGAACAACATAGAGATGGTCCAGGGGCTCATGCCTCGAGTTGCTATGAACATCAGTACATGATCAATCTTCTGTTTCTTTGTTGATACAGGTCTCACTATATGGCTTGGCTAGCCTTGAACTCACTACATAGACTAGGTTGTCCTTAGACTCATAGAAATCCACCTGCCTCTGCCTCCCAAGTGCCGGGATTAAAGGCATGCACCACCTCACTGTGGCTCACATGGCCGATCTGTTTGTTTGTTTGTTTGTTTGTTTGTTCTACACTTATTATTTTACTATGGTTTTGAGACAAGGCCTCACTCTGCAGACCAGTCTGGCCTCATGCTCAGAGATCTGCCTCTCTCTACCACCTGACTGATCTCCCATTATCTTAAAGTAAATCTCAGGCTGCATAGCATCTCATCGCAAGACGTATCTGTGTGGATCTGTAAACAAAGTGTCTCTCTTAAACCTAAGGCACTCTGCAATTGTTTGAAGGTATTTTTTTGAGACAGGACTTCACCTTGTAGTCCTTGCTGTCCTAGATCTCACTGTGTAAATCAGACCAGTCTCAAACTCAAAGATCTTCCTGCCTCTGCCTCCAGAGTGCTGGGATTAAAGGTATGTTCCATCACTCCTGACTAAGTTATTACTTAATATACAGTCAGGATTTAAAGTTCCCTAGCTGTTTCATAACTGCTTTGTTACTGTTAGTTTACAATTCATAATCCAGTGTCCACACACTGTCCCTGGGCGACGGCTCTCCAGTCTTTTATTCTGTAGCCACTACTCTCCCGTTCTTCCTGAAAAATTTCCTACTGACTCACTTGGCTCAGTTATACCCTCTGTGTCCTTCAGTATGTCCTTCAGTCCCCAGACAGCCTTCTGCAAGCTGGTAGATCCAAAGCTTCTTTCAGAATTAAAAAAAAAGAAGAAGAAGAAGAGAAAAAGAATCAAAAAAAGAAATGTAGTATTTGTATATAAGGTAGCTTCTTTAATGTTTCATGTCTCTGGTTTGGATCTTTCTAGAGACTGTCACCATCTTGGAATCCAAAATAATTTTGATTACCAGCGCTTTATTAAGTTTGCCCGTGTCTGTGAAGTGTATGAAGACGAGGAGAACTGTCCCCGTGAGGTGAAGCACATTTGTACGAGAGAAAAGGTAAAGCTCTGTCCCTAGAAAACAAGAATGCAGTTTTTGGTCTGGAATCTGGAGATAATCATCCAGCAATCTGGAAGAATCCAGAAGCCATCTTTGTTTTCTTTCATTTCCTTCCTCCTGTCTTGTCCCCTTCTCTGTTTCTTGTGAATGACTTTTTAGGCGGTGTCATGTGTGTGGTCTGTGTGTGTGTGTGTGTGTGTGTGTGTGTGCGCGCGTGTGCCTGCTCTGCACACCTGGGAGTGTGAATGCATGCGGAAGCTGCCCTGCTGCAACACTCACTGCCTTACTCCTTACGTCCAGGTCTCCCCCTACACCTCATGTACTGTCCTCTTCCTGCTTCTGTCTTCCTTGTCACTGGGACTGCAGATCCACAGGAGACCACACCCAGCTTATTACATACATAGATGCTGGATCAGAACCCAGGTCCTGATAGTTGTGCATCAAGGACTCTTTACTAGTGACATCTCTCTGGCCCCACAACCTCTCTAAAACAAAAAGAAAAGATTTATCATCATTTGTAATTATATGTCTGTGTGTCTGTGTGCATGTATGTGCACATGAGTACAGGTTCCCCTAGAGGCCTGAAGAAGGCATCCCGTGCCCTGGAGCTGGAGTTACAGGCAGCCTGCCTTGCCTAACATGGATGGGTAGCACGGATTCTAACTGCTAAGCCATCTCTGTAGCCCTTCACACCTTTCTTAATGCTTAGCATTTAAGTGTTGTAAGGCTTTTTTATTCTATTACATTTGTTTGTTTGTTTGTTTTAAAAGGTCTGTCATTTTTAAAATTTACTTATTTATGTATGTGAGTACACCGTCACTGTCTTATTTATGTGAGTACACTGTCGCTGTCTTCAGACATACCACAAGAGGGAATCAGATCCCATTACAGATGGTTGTGAGCCACCATGAGGTTGCCGGGAATTGAACTCAGGACCTCTGGAACAGAAGTCAGTGCTCTTAACTGCTGAGCTATCTCTCCATCCCCCCTCTATTACATTGTTAAACAATAACAATAATAAGAAAACTAAATCCAACATTTATTGAGTCTTATGCTGGGTAGGATTCAAGTGCTCTTGATAGGCTAACTCAGTTCCTATTACCATATGAGTTAGTACTGTTATTTCATTTGCTTCCGTCTGGGTTCTGTTGCTATAACAAAATGTCTGAGCCTGTGTAATGTATAAAGAAAAGGGGTTTATCTACTGCATAGTGCTAGAGGAAGTTTAAGAGCATGGTAGCATCTGCTCTACTTCTGGCATAGATCACATGCTGTCCCATGCATGGTGAAAGCCGGAAGTGCACACAAGAACAGTGCTAAGGAGAAGAAGGGGCAGTTCTAGACTGGCTTTGTAACAGCCTACTCCCACAAACATAGTCGTCTCATGAGATTGGAGCTGTGGTAACCTAATCACCTCTGAAAGGCCCTACCACTCTCTCCCTGCTATTACTTTAGGGACTGCACTTGGATGTGTGTTTTGGTGGGACAGACCACACTTCACTATTTAACAGTGAGCACAGTGAGGTATGTAGAAGGGTTGAGTTAAATTAACAAAACTGGAATTCCAACCCTGTAATCCCGTTTCTGTTTCCTTGCAGGAGGCTGGGAATCTGTACGACATGTTCCATACACGCAACTGCTTACACCGCAGAGCTTACCAACACAAAATCGGCAACCTCATCGACATAATGTAAGGACCTCAGTGTTAGCTCCTGCCACGTTAGCATCCCAGTGCAAGCTGTATAATATAAAAAAGTTTACCTAAAAGAAGCCTAGCGTAAACCAGGTATGGTGGCGCATGCCTTTGATCCCAGCATCTGGAGGCAGAAGTAGGCAGATCTGTGTGAGTTCAAGGCCAGCCTGGTCTACGAAGTAAGTTGTAGGATAGCCAGGGCAGAAAAACCCTGTCAAAAAAAAAGGGGAAAAAAAGTGTAAAACTGAATGTGGTAGCACATGTCTGAGATGCCAGCAGTGTGTGTGTGTGTGTGTGTGTGAAAGAGAGAGAGAGGAAGAGAGAGAGAGAGAAGAGGGAGGGAGAGAGAAAGGGGGGAAGGTATCATTTCAGGTATGTAGCAACTTTGAAGCTAGTCTGAGACCTTGTCTCAAGAGGAGAAAAGAGCTTAAGTAATTTTGTTTTCAGTTCAGAGTCAGAGAGAGACTTTGGTTCAAAGCTTAATACACTTCTTCTGAACTTGTTTAAAGGAAAACCATGTTATTTTTGCACCTATAAAATTGGGGCTTAGTGTACTTATTATTGGAAAAAGCAAATGAGATAAAGGCTCCTAAAGCTCTGTTGTCCTGCCTGGAACACAGTAGGGATGCAACTCAAGGCCTCCAAACTGCTGCCATAGTAACTGGAACACAGTAGGCATGCAACTCACAATCATAAACAGTTGTCTTTCAAACATCGACCATACCTTATTTGTTTTCTTAAACTAGAAGAATCCTTTTGTGCAAGAATCAAAGCAAATCTTCAAAATTTCCTTCTGTGTTTTTATAACAATCGTAGGATTACAGAAGCTTTCCTCAAAGCAGACCCCTACGTGGAGATTACAGGGACTGCCGGGAAGAAGTTCCGCATTTCCACAGCCATCGATGACATGGAAGCCTTCACTAAGCTGACAGGTAAGATCCCATGATGCTAGCTGCCCTTGGAGATGGAGAAGATAATAGTGAGGAAATACATGTACATATGAAATTACAAAACAGTAATTCTTTAAGTAGGTGTTACGGTACCTCTTGTATACTTGGGACGTACACAATATTGTTATTTAACACAACTATTTTAATACTAAAAATTTATAATTAAATTAAAAAAAAAACCACCTTGTCAGCACTGAACAGTAAGTCAAAGGCTAAAAGGTTGCTAGAGTGTCATACAGCCTCCAACCCAGCAGGTTGTGAGTTAAGGGCTGACAGTGGATCCTAATGCCAGGCAAGACCCAGGTCCAGTCCACAGCACCACACGACCCCCAAGATGTTTATATTGGAGAAATCTGAGGATTATAACCTTAATCATCTGATCAGACTCCACCGTGCATCGAGGCAGCCATGCATGCAAAATGGCTCCCGGATCTGTTCTAAAGGTCAACATCCTGGACTATTTGAGTCATTGTTCTAGATTTTAAAAAACTAAAAAAAGTGTGTGATTGTTAACTTATCTACATATTTGCTTGATTTCACTGTTACTAGTAGTGAAAAACTTAAGTTACATTATTAAGACAAGTTAACAATTTTTTTAAATATCACTGTTAAATTTCTTGGTCCATTTATTTTATGTGTAAAAAAAGTGTTCCTATTCTTGGGAGATACATACTGCAGTGTTCAAATGTTTCATTAAAAAGAAAAAATCTTATGCCCAGCCAAATGCAATGGTTTACACCTGTAAACCCACTACTCCAGGGGACTACCACAAGTTAGAGACCAACCTAAGCTACATTGTGAGCCAAGCCTCCCTAAGAATGAGACCTTCTCTCAAAAAAACACAGAGCAAGAAAATTGTATACACGTAAAGTGCTTGCATGGAAAAATGATGATAATGAATTTGCTTGAAGGCTATTTTAATTAGAAAATTTTTAAAGAAAATTGAAAGAAGAGAGGTTTTTTTTTTCCCCTTCTATTATGATCATAGAATAAAATATTTTAAAACTTAAAACAGAGCCTTTGATTAAGTCAGTTACAAACTTACATGTACAGGTCGCTTAGCCTCAGGTCGCTTAGCTGTGTTACCAGCACAGACGTTTTTCCCATGTGTCTCCTTCCGCAAACATTGGCTGTTTTAAGTAGATCATAGACATAGTTTTGTAAGTAAGTGTTGAAGGCCATCTGGGACTAAGTAGCAAGACCTTGTCTCCTTTACAGAAATGAACGCCCTGCAGTCATAAGTTAGGCTGTGTACACTGCCTGCTCCAGCTCGAGCCGAGGGTTCCAGTGCACTTACTCAGCCCCTCCCACCTTCTTCTGCACTGGCCTTCCCCGTCTCTCACTGCTGTCTTCTTACCGTAGCAATCACAACGCTCCTGCCTCGGGGAGACCTTTTCAGGACCCCAGCGGAGCGTCTTTAAATCCTACCATCGTTTTAACATGAATGAATTCTCATCTCATTGACAGATAACATTCTTCTGGAGATTTTATACTCTTCGGATCCACAGTTGTCTGAGGCCCAAAGTATTTTAAGGAACATTGAATGCCGAAATCTATACAAGTATTTGGGTGAGACCCAGCCGAAGGGTAAGAAGATTATAAAGGTAAGTTGAGTCACCAGCTACCCAGCAGTTAGTGGCGGGTCAATCGAGCCTCTGTCCTCAAGAACAAGCCGTTATTCTATCACAGTAACCACGTCTCCTGTTTATTCTCCTTTAATCTTCTCAGTAGTCTTAGGCACATTTACCAGATGAGAAAGTGAGCAGTAGTAAATCAATTGCTCATGAAAGGAGTCAGGTAGGACCCAAAGGCCGGTCTAGCAGCTATAAATGTGCACTCTCAAGTTCAGTTAGGGCCTCAAACTTTAAATAGATTCAACCACTGGAAAATGAATATCTAAGGAGGAAACCCCTTAAGATAAGACCTGTGCAAGCTTCACTACGGCTCTGAGAAGACGTTTTTGTCTATTGTTGACCCTTGAACAATGCTGGTTGGGGCACTTGGCCTCATGGAGTCAAAAACTAAAGGTCAATTGTCCTTTAGGTTTTGACTCTCCAAAAACTTAAAAACTAAAAGTCTGTCATTGCTCAGGAACCTTACCAGCACCGTGACAGTCAGCTCCTTAGATTTTGCATGTCATTTGTATTGTATGTGGCCAGAAATACAGAAGGAGGCAGATTGCTGGTGAGATGCTGGGATAAGGTCACGGGCTGCTTACAACTGCTGCGAAAGCAGCAGGAGGTAACTGTAGATAGATAAATGCCACATTCTTTCCAAAATGTGATGGCTGGTTTTGTTTGCTTATTTTTTAATGAAGAGTGTCCTGTTTGGAAGCTAGCACGTATTGAGGTATCTTGCTGGGATATCTGTTTTCCTGGCTGAAGAATAGAAGTAACATAACTGTGGTACAAGTACTTAATGACAAACTGGATCCTGACTGGGGAGTCTTACCTCTCTAGGAAGAATATGAATATCTTCGCCAAGAAGTTGCTGACGCCAAACCTGAAATGGCCCTGGATGTTGAACTGAAGGCTGAAGATTTCATAGTTGATGTAAGTAGTGGGCCTAAGAATAGACTAAGTGAAAATTTGTGTTTTTAAAACAATGCCTTCCCTTTGGGGAAGTGGGGTGGGCAGAGTGGTGCAATGCCTTTAATTCCAGCACTTGGGAGACAGAGGTAGGCTGATCTCTGAGTTCAAGGCCAGCCTAGTTACTGTATGTGGCTAGTGCCCACCTTGCTTGGCATTGCAGCCATGGAGCTCATTCTTCATGTGTTCTGTAAGCCCTACGCCGCCAACTCTGTCCCTCCTCCTACAGACTTTCCCCCTAGACGTTAGACAGTCTTCCATCTGAAAAAAAAAAAAATCACACTACACTCATCTTGCTGCCTTTTTTCTCCTTCAGGGGCAAACTCAAGGGAAAAACCTTCTGAATTCTTAGATTTTTCTCCTGGTCTAGGTTAAGTACCCCTTATCTAAAATCTGAAACCTGAAATTTAAAATGATCCAGAATCTGGGGCTGGATCTAGGCCCTGAGGTCAATCCCCAACTCATGCTCTTGTACACACACACACACACACACACACACACACACACACACACACATTGTCTGAAAGCAGAATTCTCTCCAAGACAGTCAGTGATTTCAGTATGACAAAGCCATTAGGTAGTTTGAGATCTATGCTTTAGGGCACTTTTTATTGCCTGGAAACCCTTTCCTTCCTCCCTGGTTCATTCTTTTATTTTTTTTTAAAGATATTATTTATTTATTATTTATATGAGTACACTGTAGCTGTCTTCAGACACACACCAGAAGAGGGCATCGGATCCCATTATAGATGGTCGTGAGCCACCATGTGGTTGCTGGGAATTGAACTCAGGACCTTTGGCAGAGCAGTCAGTGCTCTAAACCACTGAGCCATCTCTCCAGCCCTCCCTGGTTCATTCTTACTCACTTACAATGTCACTGTCCTAGGCAGGCATGTCACATGTATCCACTAACCATGTTAATGTGAGGACCTGAGTTCTATCTGCAGAATCCACTTTTTTAAAAAAAAGAAACACACAGACACATACATACACACACTCACACATAGACATGCACACAGAATCACAAAGACACATACCTACATACACAAACTCACAGACAACACACGCATACACACATACGCACGCACACATGGCAATACACACTTTTCAGACCAGAACTAGGGATACAAAGACAAGAGGACCCCTGGGGCTCATTGGGCCTCCAGCCTAAGTGACTTGATGAGCTCCAAGCCAGTGAGAGAGCCTGCCTCAGAAAAATGGAGTGCATGACACCTGAAGAACGCCAGCCAACGTTGACCCATGGCCTCCTCTTGTGCATGCCCTTGCGTACACAGAAGTTGTCTACTGTCGGTTGGTGTCTATCACATGGTAGACAAGCCTTTGTACCCTACATAGGACGAGTTCCTAAACCACATTCCCAAAGGTGATCATGTGCCTGAGTCATTTCTGTCCCATGTGTGACGACTTCCAGTGTCCCTACTTCTGAGCTCCCAGAGGGCTCAGTTCATTTCTCAGTGTCGTTATGTGATTGCTTACTTGCTCATTGTTTTAATTAAGGTCATCAATATGGATTATGGGATGGAAGACAAGAATCCAATTGATAAGGTTCACTTCTATTGTAAGAGCAACAGCAGGCAAGCGGTCACGATCACCAAAGATCAGGTAAGATAACAGGTAAGGGCCACGTAAGAGGAGTCTGCTCTAGGGGTGTGTGTCTGGCAAGCCTGAAAGTCAGTTAATAGTCTACATGCTAATCAGGTTGTAAAGTCACTGTGTACTGTTAAAAATAAACAGAGAGGGCGCAGTGCACTGAATCAGCTAAGCAGGGTTCACATGGACTCACAGACTGAGGCAGCAAGCACAGGGCCTGCAGGGATCTGCACCAGGTCCTCTGCGCATGTGCTGTAACTGTTGGCTTGGTGTTTCTCTGGGACTCCTAACTGTGGGAACGGTGTGTCTCTGACTCTTGCCTGCTCTTGGGACTCTTTTCCTCCTGTTGGGTTGCATTGTCCAGCTTCGATGTGAGGGCTTTTGCCTTGCCTGGTTGTGTTTTGTTGTGTCATGTTTGATTGTTGTCTCTTGGAGGCCTGCTCTTTTCTGAAGGGAGATGGAGAGGGGGAGTGGTCCTGGGGACAGGGAAGGCAGGGGGCACTGAGAGGAGTAGAGGGAAGGGAAACTGGTCAGAATTCATTTTATGACAGAAAAATCTATTTTCACTTAAAAAAAAAAGCATAGCTAGAGAAATGACTCAGTGATTATGAATACTTACAGCTCTGGAAGAGGACATTGGTTTGATTTCTAGCATGTATGTGGTGTGCATACATACATACATACAAGTAAAACACACACATATAAAATGAAACTAATGATCTTTTATAAGTAAAGCATAATCCAGGTATGCTAATACACACTTGTAATCCCCACAGTTGGGAAACTAAGGATCAGGAGTTAAAGGCCAGCCTGGGGAACATTAGACTCTCTCTCAAAACAAAACAACAATTTAAAATATCTGTATCTAGTTGGCCATGGTAGTATACACCTTTAATCCTAGCACTCCAGAGGCAGCAGCAGGTGGATCTTTGAGTTCGAGGCCAGCAGAAAATCTATATATAAAGAAATAAACGAACATGGATACATAATATATCTGGATATAGTGATACAGGCCTTAATACCAGAAGACTAAAGCTGCAGGGTCACTGGTTCAAAGTCTGCCAGTTCTATGAAATAAGTTCAGGGCCGGCCTGGGTCAACCTAATAAGACCTCTCAAAATAGGAAGGGGAGGGAAAGAAAGAGTGAGGAATGGAGCTCAGCCATGAGAAATACTCACCTAGCATACACTGAGGCCTTGGGTTCAATCCCTGATCCACAAAAGATAATATTTTTTAATTTAAATAAGATATATTTTGCTAGATATACCTAGGACATGAGATCCTGAGTTCAAGGTAAGCCTAGGCTATAATCATGAGACTTTATCTCAAAAAAAGAGGTGTAATAACAGCCATTTCCAGGGTCTCCTGTTTGCTGACTATCATTTAAAGTGCAGTGTTTGGTCTGAAGCTTCAGTTACAGAATCCAGTGGACCATGGCTGAAGTTATACACGTTGAATTTGCTTATCTATATATTTTATATGAGAGTCTGTGGTATGTATATAATTTATGTCCTGTAAATCTTTCAGTCTTTTACTAATTAACATAGAATTTTGAGGCATTTTGCTGTAAATAAGTATTTTCTATTTTGGCTCATAATTGGAATAAAACAGGAAAGCACTGCAGTGCTTTTAGCTCAACATTAAAAATGATTCCTCAGAACCTGGCAGGGAGCTGCTTAGTTCTTGGCAAGTGAACTCAGAGCGACAATAAAATCTTTTCTTTTTGTAAAAAAGGTGTCACAACTGCTGCCAGAGAAGTTTGCAGAGCAGCTCATCCGAGTGTACTGTAAGAAGAAAGACAAGAAGAGTCTGGGCGCTGCCGGGCAACACTTCATCCAGTGGTGTGTGCTCAGGGACTTCACCAAGCCACAGGTGGGGGATGCTCACTCATCCTTGTGCGTTAAAAAAACAAAACAAAAGAAATCTGGAGTTGGGGTGAGACAGTCCCATGTAGCTCAGGTTGGTCTCAGATTTGCTGTGTAGCTGAGGTTGGCCTGGAGTTCCTGCTCCCCTCCTTCACATGGGAGTGTAGGTTCGCAGCAGCAGAGGCGCCTGGCCTACTTTTAAGTCTTTAAGGAAAGTCCAAATGTGATCCTTCTTATCCGCTGAGAAGTTTTCATTTAAATTGTAGCAATATGGGGCTGGAGAGATGGCTCAGCGGGTAAGAGCACTGGCTGTTCTTCCAGAGGACCCTGGTTCAATTCCCAGCAGCCAACAGCCACATGCGGCTCACAACCAGCTGTAACTCCAGTTCCAGAGGATCTGATCCCCTCTTCTGGCCTCCGTGGGTACCATATGCATACAATAAGAAATGTAGGGGGAAATTCGAAAAGAGGTGGAGGAGTGATTGAGGAAGGCACTGGCTTCCACATGTGTCTGCACAGTCAAGATTACCTGCACACACACAACCCACATATACACTACACACATATACATCACACACACCCCACATATATATCACATACATAGACAGAATACACATATATCATACATAACACACATGCCACACACATACACACACTTTTTTTTTTTTTTAAAGGAAAACAGAAATAGAAACACAGGTATATTCGGTAAATGCCTTAGACCTTGGTATACTCCTTGTCAGGCCCGGTGTTGGGAACCATAGTGAAGCCAGTACCTACTAGGATAGACATAGTTCCTTAGTGCCTGCATCTCACTCTGGGGTGCAAAAGGACATATAGCCAGACTTGGTTAGATGAGAAAAGCCTGCGTCAGGGCAAGCCTACAAGCCAAGGCCCAAAAGAGGAGAGAGCTCAGCAGCTGTTTACAGGACTGGCAGCAGGGGCCATTAGGGAGCCACTGAGACAGAAGCAACATGAGGAGAACCAGAAAGCTGACAGAGAACGGAGCCCTTTCAGGAGCAGCAGCAAGTGGTGGATGTTCCCTGCCGTCCAGTGTGCCAGGGGCAGCCTGAAGCCGTTGAACCGGAGCAAGGGAAATCTTTGTTTCCATTCTTAACACTTGCTGGAGTGGAAGTCTGAAGGTGTGATGTAAGTGGCCATTTTACACCATGCTGCTGCCTTTGAGATGAACAGCAGCTCACAGGAACTCTGTCCAGTCAGATGCGGTGCGCTCAGCGGAAGACACTTAACACTGGGACATTACCAAAGTAACTGAGCGAACAGATGGAACAGTGAGACAGCGCCTGGGTGATCTTCCTGCCTTCTAGGACAAGCTGATGGAGCAGTGGGGTCCAGGGGCTGTGGACCATAGGGTGGTAACGCCCCCTGAACCCCATGCCACAGGAGATAGGAGGGAAATACTCAGGCTGCACTGTCCTCTTCATCCCCAGACTGTCACCCGAGAAGCCACTCCGCACGAGGGTGCTGTAGTTGAGTGGCGCACTAATGGGTGCTGAGTACCTGAGACAATGGGCAAGGGCAGTCCAGCCTGTCCCGCAAGGTCAGCGGCCTTGCTCCCATGCTTCCTCTACTCAGTAGAGTGTGAGGCAGCCTCCCCCTTCGGGGGAAGGGTGCATTTGCCTGGAGCCTGTTTCGATGGGGCCAAAGTTAAGAGGTTTATTTCAAGAAAAAGATTAAAATTGAGTAAGCCAGTCACAGTGCCAGTGTTCCTGGTGTCATTTGTCCCTGTCCTCCCTTTCCCCCTGTTTCCCCTGTTTGCAGACCTGGGCCATTTGTTTTAGACGGGTCTAGGAAAAGAGAAGCAAGCCTCCAGTGTAGCTTGTTCCCCCACGAGCCCCATGCAGTGCTTGGGCACTGCACTTGGGCAGTGCTGGGCCAGCCATGCGCTGGGCCTCAGCCATTTTCCCAGGAAGTCCTCTATCTGCTTAGGACTCTGGTGTTTTCAAGTTTTATCCAGTCACAGAACGTGTACAGCTTTAAATTTCTCGAGTAAGTGTATTCAGAAGCAATCTATGTGCAGGACAAAGATATGTGTGCCTGAGACAGCCCGCATACAGTGATGGAGACCGGCTTTGCTCTGTGCCCTGACCCTCTGTTTCTTCCTCTCTCTAATAGGACGGTGACATCATAGCCCCACTCATCACGCCTCTGAAATGGAATAAAAAGACTTCATCTTCCATCCAAGAAGTATCCAGAGTAAAAACGTGTCTAAAATTTTAAGTGAATGTCTACAGTTAGTTCTTTGCAAAAACCTCTTTCCCTCTCACAGTTAAGTTAGGAAACAGAACCAGAGCCCACTAGTGATTTTTATTTAGTGTCTTGAATATATGCTCATGTTGGGGGAGGGGGAGAGGTCGTTTTTATTCAAAATGAAAAATGGAATATTAACACATTTTTCCTATCTGTCCTGTGGTGATTTGAATTAAAATGGCCCCCCATATGCTCATATAATTCGATGCTTAGTCACTGGGGAGTGGCACTGTTTGAAAGGATTGCAAGGATTAGGAGGTGTGGCCTTGTTGGAGGAAGTGTGTCACCAAAGGTGTGCTTTGAGGTTTCAAAAGCCTATGCCAGGTCCAGTTTCTCTCTCTGTCTCTCTCTGTCTGTCTCTCTCTCCCTCTCCCTCTCTCTGTCTCTCTCCCCCTCTCTGTCTCTGTCTCTCTCCTTCTGTCTCTCTCTTTGTCTGTGGATCAGGAGGTAGCTCTCAGCCACCGCACAGCACCATGCTCCCAACCATGATGGCGGACTAAGCCTCCAAAGCTGTAAGCACACCCCCTGCCCCCAGTTAACTGCTTTCCCTTATAAGAGTTGCCTTGGTCGTGGTGTCTCTTGACAGCCATAGTACGGTGACTATGACAGATACTTTAAAAAGCATTAGCTTGTGTATTTTTAGCGTTAATTGAAATCTTTCTCCTTTAGCAACCTATTTTCCCAGGATAACTCTCCCATCTATTCTGAACTCTCGGTAGAAATGATTGTCTTTTCTTTTTAATTCAGAAATTGAGACAGGATTACAAACTAGAATTCAAAATTGAAATTGTGATGCACCATGTGATTAAAAAATAAACAAAATCTTAGCCCCCTGAAGAGGTACCCATTACCCCGCTACTCCCCAACACCCCACCTGTTCCATCCCTGTTAAGTGCCAGGCTTGGAGAACACTGGGCGAAGCTCTTTCCTCAGAGGAGCTGAGGTGTGCCAGGCAAGTACTCTACCGATGACCTCCATCTCTGTCTTCCTGGTACAACTCCCCGTCCCTTGCGTTAGGAGGGTTAGGTTCAGAGGGCGCCTCACACCAGGCTGCTCCTGAGTCTGTCGTGACTCCAGACAAGATCAGCCTTTTTGTACCTGTAACCACTCCAAGAGACTCACCGCTGCCAGCCTGGGGACAGGCCTTCGTCCACCTCTTCTGAGCTGAACTGGTCAGCTGCTCAGAGTCCATGGACTCCATCCTCTGGCTGCTGGCTCCTGGGACCACCATTGCTTCAGTGTGTTTACCAGTTTTGGAACATTCTGGACTGCCTTTGTGAGCTTAGCAACTGCACAGTGAGTCTCAGGTCCCCTGTGTAGCTTGCTGTTCCTACCAGTGCCGAGCCATTCTCCCTGCTGCCCCCCTCACCCCACTTTGCACAGCTTTACCAGGAACTGAGTCCAGTTGGAGCCAACAGTGGTCATCGGAAATGCTAGAGATGTGGGTGGTGGGGACAGGCAGGCACTGCAGGTAACATCTTAGTGATGATACTCTCCCGGGGAGCAGCCCTGTGCTGCGTCTCCTCTGAGCAGCCGTGTTCTGTCTCGTCCACTCGTGGGTGAAGAGTATTTGGTGTGTCTGCCCCAATGGGGTCTTAAATGCATAAGAGGCGCTCACTCTCCCCCACTAGCCACGGTGCCTCTGTAACTCTGGGAGACAGCCAGAGGTTTCCCCTCCCAGACTCAAGGTTAAGAAGTACATAGTTTTCTGCAAATATTGTTATATTTTTGCCAGTCTATATTTTTTTAATCATTATGGTTTATTCTGGAATTTTGAACCATGGAATGTGGGAAACAGATCTGACCCATTTTATGCCTCTGAAGCTGTTTTCCTTGTGTGTACCTGTTTCATTTACAACACTGCATTAAAAATGGAGATTTTAACAGCTTAGTCTCTCGAGTTACTGAATACTGCCAGCTTGCTGTAAATAGAACCACAGGTTTAGTGACTTCAGTTGAGTAAGGGGACAGCTGCGATAAAGCTTCCATTGGGTGCATTTCTATCCTGAAACTAGAGGAAAACTCCTTAATCCTCATACCCTGTGTGCCTGGTTCGGATTCCTGTGCAGAGGAATACATTTTCTGTGGAGCCCACATAGATGCTTCTTGGTGTCACAGCACTGTGTGGGGTCTGCAAGACAATGGTATTGACAAGGTCCCAGGTTCTTGGTTTTCCTCACAAAATAAGAGCAGGACATAGCTTGCTTTTTCCAGCAGGAGGCAGACCATGCGTGGAAAGGGTCATGGGGCCTAAGCTCAAAGGCTCTTGTGCCGGAAAACGAGCTCTTTCCTCTCAAGCCCCTCTGGTTCTGTCTGCAAAGCCTCAACTGCTTTACCCAACCTACATATGGTTCAAAGACAGCTCTATGTCTCTCCCATGAGATCAAGTGACAGATGTGTGACCACCTGACCCATGGCTGGCCTTCACACCACACCCTTGACAACGAGGCAAGGGTAAATGATGCTTCTCTTTATTAGTTTTTAGAAGCAGACCTCAGACTTCTGGGTTCAACAGAATTCTTCAAGTAAAGGGAATCTAAAACACAAAAGAGAAGTGTGTGTGTGTGTGTGTGTGTGTGTGTGTGTGTGTGCATGCTCGCACTCGCGCTTTGGGTAGATACGTGTACACACCCAACGTGACTGAAAGAATATGAAAATGTTAGGGGAGGGAGTAGGATTTTTGTTTTGTTTTGCTTTTTGGTCTTCTAGGGATTGTGAAATCCTATAAACGCCAATATTATGCTGCTTCAGTCAGTGTCTTTCACACCTTATAATCAGCTCTGCTGGAGGACAGTGGCTGCCCCTGTCCTTGAGTTTTGAAGCCATAAGGAGTCTGGCTGAAAGCCACGGTCCACATGAGGCTTCTTCCCCATCCTGAGTCAGCCAGAATGGCTGCCATGTGTGAGTGGTCCTGGGAGGTGTCAGCTTAGAACCCAGGCCTCCAGCTCCTTGATGCAGAACTGCTCCTGCCGGGCCAGCACTTCATTGTTGAAGGTAGCACAGGGGTAGCTTCCGCCATGGTTCAAGTCTCCGTCCAGCCACAGCCCAAACTGGCCACTGAAGAGAAGAGGGAACGGGCTGTGGAGCTAGTTCTCTAGGAACAATGTCTGCTATGCAGCACAAGGACCTGCCCCCAGCACCAACATAAAAAGCCAAGCCGGTCACATACTTCTGCAGACCTAGCACAGGGAGGACAAGGGCAGCTGGTGAGGCCTTGCCAGCTTCAATGATACCGTGGAGATGGACTGTGGTGGACACCCAGTGTCAACCTCAGTTCTCCATATGCATGTGCACACACACACACACACACACTGGGAAAATCTTGGCACAGTTGTGCCAAGTGCTAGGCCTCTGTGACTGACTGCCAACATCACACGACCAATGCAGCTCCCCCGATCATGGCTGCAGCCATCATCCCTTACACCCGTTTATCAAGATTTGGGGCCTCCTCATGTGCTCTATATCGTTCAGGGGATTTTTTTTTTTACAACAATCCATTGGTTTTAATAACTATATAGTGGCACAGCCATCACCTCAACCCAGTTTTAGAATATTCTCATCTTTACATTTGAAAGAGAACCTGGCCTGGAAGCAGGAAATGGATCACTAATCAGCAACTGCCAATGTGGCCTGTGTCCTGCTGCCCCTCCAAGGAGCTGAGCTAATAGAGGAATGCTGAAGGAATACCTTTAGGGTACAACTTAACGTGCTTCCATGTGAGGGTCACACCAGGGTCAGGCTGTGTTCTTAGCCAGATGCATGTCTTCCAATGAGCCGCATGGGACTCAGAACGCTGGGCCCTCCCCATCTTGTGACCCCACATCCATGTAGATGTTCCCAGTCACTTTAGACTAATGTCACTAAGCATGAGACCCTCTGGGGATGGCCTGGTTGAGTGTGGCCCTCTGGGGATGGGCTGTGGTCCTGATGTCAGGGGGCACTGCAGTCTGCCTGAGAGGAAGACAGCCTGCCCATTCCACCTGCAGCAAGCACCCTTGGGAGGGGGACACAGGCCATCCCAGAATGTGGGGGACAGAGACACGCACCTTCCACTGCCCATCATGAGTGAGTCCAGGTCTCCTTTCACAAAAAAAGAGTTGTGCCCTGTCCACTTAAAGACCTGAGTGAAAAGGAAAAGCAGGGTCACCTCTGAGTGTTGTCGTTGCATTCTGACTCCAAGCCACATGGTGGCAATGTTGCACAAGGACTAGAGGCTTCTGGGTTCAGTGACTACCAGGAAAGACTGGGCTCCCAGACCTTAAGATTTCCATTTCCTTGGACTTCACCCTTTATGCCCTCTGCCTCAGATTCCCTATATCCTAGCAGCGCTAAATAAACGGTAGCAATAAAACAAACCTCTGAGACTTCCTGCTTTCAAAGCAAAGAGGGAGACAACCAGGCCAGAAGCTGGGATGGAACTGCCACTCAACCAACCTATCACATGACCTACAGGCCCTAAGACTCCCTGTGACCTCCTGTGAATTTCTGTCCCACCATCTGGGTCACAACCTCCTCCAGATCTTCCACCATGTACTTCCCACAACCTTCTTCATAGTGACCCGCATGGCCCACCAACTTTAAATCACACTGTGTGTCTTCTACCTAAAGCCTTCCGGTGCCCTCCTCTGTGAAGGAGACAGAATCCAGTCTTCCAGGCGGCATGCACCTGCCCCCACCCCTTCCTTTCTCTGTGCCCTCTCCTCCCCTTACACACTGCACCTGAGCTGCACCTGAAAGTCCTCATGGCTTAGGGCCTTCCTGCCTCGGCACCCTCCAACCCTGTCCTCAGGGGTCACTTCTTTCCCCACAGCCTGAGTGTCATTGCAGAGAGCCCCTGCTTGGTTTCCCTAGCCGATGAAGAGCCAAGATAGGCAATAAAGTTGCTTTTAAAGGGCCCCAAAGTACAGTATGTTGCTTCCTGTAATTAGATGTCCCCATTGCTAGGAACAACGCTCCCAACCTCCAAAGAATAGAATGATAAAGGCCAGGCTGCAAAGGAACAAGATAAAGCTAACAAGTGAGCACAAGAAGACCGGTTCTTTAGCACTTCTGCGCTTCCTCTGCTATCTTCAAGGACACGTCCTCCTGATTTGAAAGAGCAAGATAAACATTGCTGAGGAAGAAACTGAGACAAAGTCGGAC